TACAATTTTGTTCCCGATGTGTAATGATTGATTTTAAGATATCTTCTTTGAATATATACACAGAAAATATCAAAAATACTCTTACACACTTGGTTGGGGCTCGGGTTCCTTACACCAAAAGAAGTACAAAAGTTCATAATCACATATGTCCGCAAATGTTTTGTTGTTTCATCGTTGTGTTTTCACACAAGTAGTATTTTTTGAGTCAAAATTGTGGTTAGTCTCATTAAGCATTTAATCTATTGTTTTGTGAAACCCAGAAAACAGGTATCGAATCCGCCCCACCATCTCAGGAATAGACAGCGAAAGCCATAACAAAAAATATTAACTGCTCTCATCATAAAAATTAGCTCATCTCACATAAAGAACTCAGGCAGCTGAGTTGAAAAACTAAGGGAGATAAATATGACTGACAAACTTACGTCGAGTCTAGAAATAAACGTTTGACATTATTTTTATTACTTTTGATATTGAAATCTTGACGACTGTTTGTCACTGTGAAATTAATTCGATTGTATTTTTATACAACAGATTAATTATTTGAAAACTAAAGTAAAAATTGTTTAATCTACATCATTTTGTATTTTCAAAGTCACTGGTGTTTATTCAAAATGTTGTGTATGTTTTGTTAATCCCCTGGAAGATACTATATTTCCATTTAGGCAATTAATACTCTTTCTTTCTATTCTATTTTCATATTTACCTTTCGAAATTTTATTAAAAAGTTTAATGTATACACGACTGTTTTTTTTTGGGGGGGGGCGTTAAAAACATTATTTTGGAAATTCTTGCAAAAATCAAATGCTTTTTGAGATATTAATTCAATTTCAAGACTTATTCACAAATGAATGAGATTACTTTTGGAATGTTTCAAAGAAAATCTTGCTAAAGCTATTTCTTTTTTACCTCTGTCATCTCCGCTTACTTAATTTTGTGAAATTTCGAGAATTTAAAATTTCAACCTCTTCTTTCTATTTACCGAAAATCTGCCCTGAATCGTAAAATTAAAAAAAATGCAGCAAAAATATGACTGTATTTAATTAGAAAAGTTTTTAAAATAAAATTTATTAAGGACACCATTTTCTAAAGAAAAAAAAAGAGATTTTATGAATAATAGAAACTTTACAAGAATTGCTTAAATTTTTTAAAATTTATTAAGTTTTAAATTTTTTTAAATTCTGTATTATTTTAAGCCTTTTAGATGCTATTTTTATTAAGTGAAACCTATATTAACTATTCATAAATTGAAAGGCTTAATACAAATCATCAAACGCCAATATTTTAAAAAGAATTTTGAATGTTTTTGCATGTATAAAAGCGTTCAGAACATCTAACGACATTATAGGAAAATAAAAACAATAACTATAGGAAATATAATGTCAGAATTTCTAAAATTCAGTAAAATATTAGATGCTTGAGAATATTTTCCGAAATTTTAAAGATTACTGAGTACTTAAAAATTATATAAAAAATGTGCTCACGTCATTTTCCTACATATAGTCTCAGCAGAACATTAGATCTGTCATCAGGTTGTCAAAGCAGTTACTGTCGGATTAAAAACAAAATCTACTGTCGGATTAAAAACAAATCTACTCTTGGGTTAAAAATTAATTTCTGAGATATTTGAAACGTAAAGTAAATACTTGTTTCAAATTGGATTAATTATACTTTAAATTAGCTAATATTACTACAAAAAAACTATATTTATTTTTGGAATATTATTCAATAAAGAATTACATTGCGATGAAAGACGATAAAAAAGAGCTATTTTAGCAAGGAAAAAAATCTCCTTCCGGTCAATTTAAATTAGTTTTTGAAAAACAACGAAGTTTGCTTATTGGAAATATTGAATTTAATTTATTAGCGCACGACTGGATTGACCGTAATGTCTTATCACTTTACTATTGAAATGCTTAGATGTAAACAATTTCTATGTTAACATTTCCTTCTCTTTTCCCTGTGAAACTATATTCCGGTTCCTTTTTTTTCCAGTTAACTTTGATTTTCACAAATTTAAGTACAATGTCAATCGTTATATTCTGTCGTCTTAATTCTTGTTCTTCTATTGTTCTCGCTCTTTCATCATATTTTTATTTTTCTGATATTTTCTCACTCAGTAATTGCTTGCGTCTTTGTGTCTTTATTGCCGTGCTTCGAGGGAATTGGTTAAAAAAATCATTTTAAACACCGTATGTAATATTTGATAAAAGACTAATACTAAATGCTGACTATCTTGAATTATTAATACTAACTCCGTTCCATAATAAGCGACCAGATGTATTACTTTTGAAAGAGTAGAGTTGGTCACTTACTTTGGATACTATGTAATTTTGAATAGAAAATAAAGTTCTTTCATCTTTATTCTACTTTCATTAGTCTATCTGGTTTAAGACATGTTTTGTAGGAAAAGTAGTCTTAGTTATAAAAGAGTACAAGGGATTTTAAACAGAAATAAACGTACTTCAATTTGACAAGTTTCATTATTTTATCCGGTCTAAAAGACATGTTTTATAGCAATGGTGACCATAATCAATCAACACAAGATATTTTAAAGATGAATTAAATTTAATTAATCTTATTACCAGCTTCATTATTACGATTCTATTTAAACATGATTTAGATGAGTAGATGGTTTAATAACAAAGAAACCCAAAGAATTTTGTAAAGAGATAAATATCAGTCAGTTATGTAGCATACGTGATACCCGCTTGAGTGATCATGTTTCTTGCGATTCATGACTGACGATGCAGAAGATATTCCCGGAGCATATTGCCGTTACTTTCTGCGGAGAAGGGTTGCCAACCAAGTTTATAGGACCCAATCTGTCTTGGTTTTCAAGGAGATGGATTGAGAAGAGATGGATTCATACCTTTCTGAATGGAATTTCCGCGTAATTGATTCTCAATGGATTCATACCTTTCTTACGTGTAAGTGAATATAAAGAAAAAAGTTTTATAGCAATGGTGATCATAATCAATCGACACAAGACATTTTAAACATGAATTAAATTTAATTAATCTTATTACCAACTTCATTATTTTTATTCTATTTAAACATGCTTTAGATGAGTAGATGCTTTAATAACACCGAAACCCTAAGAATTTTGAAGAGAGATAAATATCAGTCAATCAGTTAAGTGTCATACGTTATTTGAATTCGGCTCTTTGATTACACGTTCAGTGACGTTATCCATTACCCCACAAACTCACTTTTATATTTGTTCATGATTCTGTCAAATACCTTTTTGTTATATACTGAAAATATGAAAAAAATAGTGAATAGTTGAAGCAATTTTGATTTTAGGCATATAATTATATTGTTTTACTATTAGACAAATATTTATGTCTTTCTAAAAATATTATTTTTTCTTTTGCAGGTTGATCTTGTTTTATTATTTTTAAAATCCGAATCAGTTTGAAGTTCTCACGATGGAACTTTTTCCTGTCATAATTGTCACCATTCTATCACAGAAACTAACTTGCGCGGAGAATATTCTTTTCTTGTCAGTACCTTATTATGGCCATATCAAGCCAATGGTGAAAGTGGCTGAAGAGTTGACCAATTATGGACACAATAGCTACATTTTTATTACTGAGAAATTTGGTGGGAAATTTGGTCCAGTGAAAAATGGGGTCAACTTCTTCATAACGGAAGAATTTCCAGAGTTTAAGATATACAATGATATAATATCGGACGTGTTACTTTCGCCAGATAAGTATTCGATCAAGGAAGCATTAACTGCTCTCCATAAACTCTGTGATCGTTATCTTTTAGACGAAGACATTTTTTTAAGTTTAAAATCCTTCAATGCGTCTTTAGCGATTGTTGGTTCAAACTTTGAGAGCAACTGTCTTGCTATTTTTGCGTACAGACTTGACATTCCTTTCATCCTCTTGGGTTTAAGAAATCAAATAAACATTCATCGAACACCTTGGGAAATTTCTGTTTTTCCACATTTTTTCCTCTTCCGGTCGAATGTATCATCTTTTTCTACAAAGATCAGGAATGTTTGGAAGCATCTTCAGGATTACATCAATCCCGCAGATGGATCTCCAGGCAAAAATATTAAATACTATGCTCCTGAACGGCCGGATATTTCCTTTGATGTATTCATACGACAAGCTCAACTGTACATTATTGATTCGGATCACTTTCTTCATTTAGCATTACCAGCGCTTCCAAATGTCAAATACATTGGGGGAATTGCTGTTCAACCGGCAAAACCTCTCATAGGAAAAATATTTGAATTTGTTAATGCTTCTAAACATGGAGTCATCGTCGTCTCTCCAGGAAGTCTTGTCAGTTGGGGCATTCACATAAAGAAAATGGAAGAAGCGTTCAGTATTATCAAATTCGATGTCGTCTGGAAACATTCAAATACTTCTTATTCCCGTCCAAATGTTCTACTAAGAAAATGGCTGCCCCAGAATGATCTTCTTGGCCATCCAAACACCAAATTGTTTATCACTCACTGTGGCAACAATGGTCTACATGAAAGTCTGTATCATGCTGTCCCCGTGATTGGACTTCCAGTTTTTTCAGATCAGCCATTTAATAGTCAAAATATACAAACAAAAGGTTTTGGAATCCCGATGAAAATTAATAATTTCACAGTGGACGAGTTGGTCAGAAATATCAAGGAAGTCATTGAGAATCCAAAATACAAGAAAAACATTGCAAAGATGAGCGAAATATTTCGATCCCAAGATCTCCCATCGGTCAGAGCAGCCCGTCTTGTAAATGAGATCCTGAAATATGGAGGCGATCATTTAAGATCAGAGATTCAAGACATTCCGTTGTATGAGTTTTTAATGCTTGATATTTTGGCCGTCCTTTTTACGGCTGGTTTCATAATTTTGTGTCTGATGGTTTTTCTTTTGAGAAAGTGTTTCTCAATTGTTTTCAGAAAAAGAAATACAAAAACAGAATAAGTCTGACAATTTTGAATTTGGACACTAAATACAGAAAATCGAATGTTCAATTTTATAAAAATATAATATATGTTATATAAAACATCTGATAACAACGACATCTATCTATCTATTTATTTATCTATCTATCTATCTATCTATCTATCTATCTACTTAGTAGAGATATAAGAGATTCCCCTGAAATATATATATGTAAAAAAATTATGGTAAGATAGAAAAAAAAGCCCTTAGGGAAAATAAAATATGCCTCCTTGTATGAATTGTGGTTCTTTTGACAGGATTGCTATTCTTATTTTACTCTCAGTCGGCAATCTGAGGTTCTAATAAAATATTTCTTTACAATTTTAATTTTTTTTATATCTTTTCTTTTTCTCTTACTTGACAACTCTGGTATTTAGCGAGATGAATTGGTTTAAATTCACTGTATTAGCTCCACTCACATATGCATAAGTGATTTTACTGATTTTAATTTCTGATGATCTTTGTTGTTTTACAGGTGATTATTAAATGAAATCGCAAGATTTCAAATATGGTGAATAAACTAACGCAATATTTAAACAAACTCAGAAACAATAAGAAATATACTGTTGTTGCTTTTTATTAAGAATTAATGTTGAAGGGAGGCCCTGAAGACTGTCGAAAAGTGGTAAAAGACTGACAAAGCGATAGTTAGAGGGGTCAGAGGGTTCACCAGATTTCTTAAAAACAGAGTCTACAAACGAGGACTTCCAAACAAGCTGGAAAGCAGGAAGCAACATGGCAATAGTTATATATTGGTTTGATGCATAATTATCAGGTGTTTTCGAAAAACCAAAAAAAAACATTCATTATGAATAAAGAAATATAACAATTCAACAATAACAGTTTTAGATGATTATTCCGAATCGTATGATTATCAATGCGCATTTTTATAACCTGAAAATAAAACAATAGTTTTATTTAAAAAAAGTAAACAAAACAGTAGTTTTTATAAACAAATAACGCGCCTACAAAAACGCCTGATAATTATGCACCAACCCTAGTTTGTAGAGAACTGACAGATCAGAAGCTCATTTCTTTAGGACAAAGGTTGGTATTCCACCATCTTCAATTGCCTTATGGGGGGCCTAATTTACAAACTATGTCCGAGACAAGTGACGGTGTTATGCACATATCACTCAGTAGAAATCCGTTATGAGTACTCGAGATGAGTCGAGTGTTGATTTGGATAAAAACATTTATCATTATCTGTTGTAAATGACAGGACTTCGAATTGGTTGGATAGAGGATTGAGGATTTACTGTTGTTCAGCACTCTCTTGCAGAGCCACCAATAATATCTTAAAAGAGAACTTGAACTTGATACTGTCAGCAAACAGTAATTTGGCTTCATTGAAACATCTATTGCAATCGGGTTTATCGCAGTTGGAAGAAGTAATTCCTGTGGGCTGTAGCAGGGAAGCAAGCAGCAAAGAATCTGAGAGATAACGCGGTTTAACTTGGTATTTCCGTGCATTTTTGAATGGGGTGAGTAAAATCCACATTCAAAGGGACTTCTCAAAGGAAATGACTGAATGAGTTCCAATCTGCTCATTGATAGCAGAAAGATATTCTGTTGATAACAGTGTTTTCGTGACGTACGGAGGCCGCTGGCCGCTAAAGTATAACTCAATACTTCAATGTTAAATAAAACAGTATTTAATTACAACTGCAAATAAATACTTAACAAGAACAAAGAAGAAGTAAAAGTCAACCAAAGAAAATTAACCCTTTCAATGAATATCTTCTAAGTAGCGTGGCTCGGCTAAACATTCGATAAATTCTTAATCAAAACCAAAATCATCGACACACAATAATTCACTCTAATTTGACTGGATAGTTCCACTCAATAATCACTCAATAATCAGTGCAGTCAGTAGCCTGACATCGCTATTTATACACCTGGCAGAAAACATATATTCATAAGTCCAGAGTGTCACGCTCGAACCTCGGTGTCAGTAGTTACTCAGTTTCTTCCTATATATCACAAGGGTCATGACAGGGAGAGGAGAGGAAGGAATATGTTTACAGATACTATAGCGGGATCAGAATTGCCAAGAGAACAGAACATCGTAATACAAGAGTCAGGGATTGAGGTAAAGCAGTGATCGGGAAAGAGACGCTTCCGTCAGAGTTACTTGGGAAACGCGCATTTTGCGCCTGTGTTCACTACGCCACCTATTTCTGTTGTAATTGCGGTTCAGGGTGACATTCAAGGCAATAAAGTGCAATGGTTTGCTGGTTTCTATTTCAGCTAGGATATAAAGGTTAGCCCGTCTCTCCGCCCACTGATAAAGTTTCTACGCCCAGGCTGACGACTGGATAAAGACGACTAGCACACGTAGGTTGGGGAGAGGTGGTTCCCCTCTGACCAAAGGGAACCCTTCCGGCTAAGAGTACAGAGTTTAGTTGGCAGGTCGATGCCGTTGTCTGAAATGTGGCTATACGACCATTTGGAACCTTGCGTAAGAGTTGGATCGAGACTGTGGGCCAGTACAATTCCGCATCCCAATTCACCTGAGTAAAGCAAGATCGACAGGTGGCGGGGAGGAGGTATAACGAATTAAGGGGAGAGGATGACGATCCCGATCCGAGCGGGGGCCGGGTGATATATATATATATATATATATATATATATATATATATATATATATATATTATTTTATTTAATCCAGCTATTTTAACAAATATGAGAAACTTTTCATTTAGATTTATAATAATCATGGAGAATGTATGTTTACCATGTGAACTACGACAATTGTAAAACGTTGGATACTACTAATGGTATTTTTTTTAAAATCGAGTTCACTCCAAGGAAGGCAGTAAAGCCACTAAGGTGCAAGGATTACTTTGTGTAAAAGAATTAGAAAACAGAAACATTACTAAGGACCGAGAACAAAAGAAGAGTAATCAGGAAGACAGTAAATAGCGATTGAAATTGCATTTATATTTTTATAGATTAAACCACTGAGCCGGAAGAGATTTACACAAGCGAAAATTGCGATAAAAGAAACTGTTAGAATAGAAGTTACGGTTACATATAATCAAAGGTAAATTGGTGGGACCACGTCGCTGCACTTAAATTCGTAAAGTCTAGGTACTATAAAAGAAAACTCATTCAAAGAGTTGCCATGGAAATAGTTATAGAAAAGGCACGGGGAGACAACGACGGTGGGATGTGACGGAAGATCAGGACCAATAATATTGCAGATTATTCTTTGGATTTTATCAAGGAACTCTAGATATATGGCAGTAGCAGTAGACCATATGTGGCAGTAATATTCTAAGCTTGGACGAATGGTAAAATCATAGCTATGTAAGATAAATGATTTTTTTTATGTAGGGGTTACCTGAGATATGAAAATTATTCCAAGAATTTCACAAGGGTAAAAAGGTCAAGAAACACTGTTCCAAATAGTAAATAATTCGTCTATGTGTATTTAATTTCTTTTTGTATGCGTCTATGTGTATTTAACTTCTTTTTGTGTACATCAATATGTATCTAACTTCTTTTTGTATACGTCTATGTGCATTTAACTTCTTTTTGTATGTGTCTATGTGTATTTAGCTTCCTTTTGTATATGTCTATGTGTATTTAACTTCTTTTTGTAAAGATTTCTCAGTTGATTTTAAACAGAGTTGATGCGGACATTGTCATAGAATCTTCTTTTAAAGTTTAATCCACGGAGTTTTTTAATTCTGTCTGTCTGTAAAGACATTTGATCCGCATTTGATTAATATTTCTTTTAGTTCAGTCAGTTAAGCGCCATACGTGATACATAGTTGGGTGTTAATGTATGTTACTATTCATGATTGACGAGACAGAAGATTTCCTCGCAGTTCGTTGCCGTTTCTTTCTGCAGTAATCTGGTTGCCAATCAAAGTTATATGATCCAATTTGTCCTGCTATTCGAGAAGGTGGTGGGAAAAGAGATGGGTTCAGAACTTTCTCAATGTTGTCTGCGCGTAAGTGTATGTAAGTAACCAGACGTGAATTCGAACTCGGATCTTCGATTTCATATTCAGAGTCGTTATCCATTACATGAAACCAAAAGACAAAACACATTTCGAAATGATAAGTCTTTTTTAAACTAATAAGACATAAAAAAAATATTCAGTTATTTCTCGTTCATTTACAAGGTTGTAGCGATAAGGAAATCATTTAAATTACTTTATAGCGAAATGCATTAATGCAAAGAAATTTTCCATTAGACCTTGATTTTTCAAGACAATAAAAGAGCAGAATGCTCAATTGATAATTGCCGGTGTGGGCGACAATGTTCATTGTAAAGTATTCGTTCCGTATGTGTCTTTTAGCCATTGCTGCCCTTCCTGGTTCACCAATTTATCTCCACTTTTTACGTATCTGGTATTTGCCCCGTAAAACTGGGAGGTGGTCTTTGATAACACGGCCTTATAACATCATAGCCAGACACATGCCAAGATCCTGGACGAGAGTGATGCTTTTGGTCATCAAAGCACGGGCTGCACGATCGTGACACAGACGACTGCAGCTGTTTTTTGCGAGTATATGTTTAGCCGTTTTGATGGCCAGTTCTGCTAGGCCATTGCGATGTGGGCAGTAAGCGGACGAAATACATTTCCATATTCTTCAGTGTTTAAGAAAAGGAAAAGGTGGTGACTCGTCGGACGAAAGTTCTTCAGATGCCCCATATGTGCAGAACCAAGTTCTCATGGTGCCGCAAACTGCTCTGGCCTTTCCAGATGTCATTAGGGCCATTTCCATCCAACCATTGTAGCGATCTGCATATATACATAACTAGCAGCATGGCCCGGCGTTGCCCGTGCTTGATTCAAAACTCGTACGACTCATACAGCAATCGCAATCACTTAACTTAAAATATTTTTGCCTTTCTTGCCTTTAAAGGAGTGCCCGTTGCTGTGCTGATGTTGCTACATGCCTTACTTCTTGCTTATCTCACACTGCGAAGTTTTTCTAAACTCTATACTAAAAATTAAATCTGTTACGAAAAAAAAACCTAAAGAAAATGAACACAAAACGATCAGCTTTAAAAAATGACTCGTAACTGGAAAAAGCGAATGAAAAAAGAATGTTAACAACAAACACTTTTTCACACGCAACCCAGTTCTGTGGAATCAGAATCAACGTTGAGTTTAAGCAAGCAAATGAGCCAATTGGAGTAAAGTGCCATGCAGATTTAAATTTTTCCCACTTGTGACGAATGCAGCTATCGATTTTTTTGCATGCTAGCATGCTAGTTAATATTCGTGTCAGTGAGCAGTTGGCTCTCACGCTGACCAATAGAATCTACATGTCTATTCGTGGCAGCCAGCTATTGGCTCTCAGTGAGACCAGTACAAAATGGCCGCAAACTACAGGAAAAATGTCGTAGAAGCATGAAGAAATCGTTTGTTTCCACTATCGATGGGAGTTGGGAAATGCAAAGTCGGTCTTGGCCTTTCCACTAACTTGGAGCATGTGCATGTAAATTTTGGTGCAAATCCGTCGAAAATTGCGGCCGTGCATTCATTATACACACACACACACACACACACACACACACACACACACACACACACACACACACACACACATCCTGCCTTTTATAGATAGAGATTTCTAACGTATAAAACGAAAAAGTTAATCACGGTTTGTTGAAATGAGATTTCAGGGTTAGACGGCGGAATTAAGCGCTCCGTAGGCTGTGACGAGGCGATTGAGTTACGTACCTACTTGATTGGTACTCTTTTGACGAAGTACAATTCTTCGCCCATGGGCCTAAAAACCGAGAAATCACCGACATGAGGTCATGCTTTGATTTGTGGTAACCAGTTCGTATATATTCAGAGTCCGAGATTATCCATCCATGGCTGTCGCGGCAGCGATCCTATCCCATATGTTAGGCCTCAATCTAGGGTTATGATCGTAAGTTGACATGAATTCAGCCTAGTTTAAACTGTTGATTGGTTCGACGGCATCAGTTGTATTCGCCTCGTAGAATTACCGTCTTCGCTTCTGTTGCATATGTGAAGAGAATATTTGGGGAAAGCGGTGAGCTGTGGTACCCGTTATACGAGTCCAGAATATTTTTCTTTGTCTGAGACCTGATTAAATTGGGACGGGGTGTGATGGGTTTCTCTCATAGAAGTGGCGTTCAGTTCTTGTAAGTCCACCGTGCTTCTGGGGGTGGGGCCGTCTTTTTTTGGGTGCCACTACCTTGTAGACCAGGTTATAAGATTGCCCAGTGGCAGTGGTTCAATTATACCCAACGCGACGTCTCGATCGAGATCTTGTTTCACTCTCTTCCTATAATGATGAGGGACGGGGATCGGTGTGTGGAACGCTGATGGCGCCGCAACAGGGATGAAGGTAATGTCCAATCGTTTTCCTGTCATAGTCTGCAAGAGTTGATGTGGGCATGTATTAAATGCTCTGGACTTGGAATGGTCTTGTATCTACCCTTCCAGTAGGTGCCTGTTGGTTTCCTTCGGAAGCAACAGGATCGTGCTAGGCATCGCTGGAATGGGTTTTTTGCGTGGGCATGTTCACAGGGCATTTTCTTTTACGCACTTCTGCGAGTTGAGCCTTGATGTCTGGGCTGGGAAATCAGGTGGCAATAGATGTAAGTTCTTGAGGGCAGATTCTGATAAATAAAAACCAGTCGTGTTTTTTGACACATACACCATCTGCCATGTCCCCGCTCGAGCAAATATGCATGAATAACACGCCTTTTATATAAAGTCTCTGATACCCCGTATTCGATGACTTGTTGACATGATATACACGTCTTGCCGCCTGAGTAGTTTTAACATCTGTGGTCCACTTGAGCAAGCTTGAGCCCCTGTATCGGCGAATGCGAGGATACGATGACTACCGTATCTAATTGGACCAGTATGGGTGCGCCCAAATGAAGCGTGAGTTTGATGCATTATAATCTATTCTATTGACGGCAGTGTATCTGGGACACCGCATTTCAAGTGGACCAAGTTACTGTTGCTATTTTTGAAGCAATTTTTTTAACATTAATACATCTACGTAGAGACCTCTTAATAATCGACGCAATAGAAATAAATTATAAAAAATGAATTGCATCGTTAAAAAAGCTGGTACCAAAAGTTACTTGCAAGAAAATCTTTTATATTGGAAGTCTCCAAAACGTTGAGTTTAGTTTGATCCTTGTCACACCGAAGCGCATGCGTAGAATTCCAGATCAATAACGAAATCATCAGCTTATAATTGCGTGACTTGTGTTTTAGTAGTGCATGAATAGCACTGAATTAATATTGAAGAGGTTGGTAAGTGTAATTAACATAAAATAAACAGAATGTAACGGAAAGTAAATAAATACATAATACTCAAAATATAGCTGGTCATCTTTTATTCTGCTGGCGACGCCTGGTGACAGTTTCTTAAATATGAAAATAATACCCCATTCTATGGTAATAAAACAGATCAAAAATTCCTTACCACATTCATATATCTCACACCCCTCATTCGTCATAAATATTTTAACAGTATAGTATTTACATTAGTCGGACTATTGTCCTCATCTTTGTCGCCATATTTGTCACAACGTTTCGGCCGTTGTACGCTCCGGCCTTCTTCAGGTGGTAGGAATTTCGAACTGAACCCTTTATTTCGATCACTGGACACATGGCACAGTGGATAAAGGCGTTAGTTAGATCCAATGACAGACCCAAAGAAGGTGAGTTCAATTCCTGGTTAAGGCAGTGAAGAACTTTCAGAGAGAAAATTAGCAGGAGATAACTAATAACTGACATCCATCAAACATGGCACGTGGAACTAGAACAGTCTACCCCAGTGATCGAAATAAAGGTTTCAGTTCGAAATTCCTACCACCTGAAGAAGGCCGGAGCGTACAACGGCCGAAACGTTGTGACAAATATGGCGACAAAGATGAGGACAATAGTCCGACTAATGTAAATACTGTACATAATACTTCATCTCAGAAATATAGACAGATTTTTACAGTATATCTTTACACTTAGTGCATCTCGTATTTCTTTTGTCTTGTACTTCGTTAGCATCCGTAAAAACACACGGACACACACACAGACACACACAAAATGTAAACTGTTCTAATGGTGTTAAATACTTAATAAACTCTCCAATAGTGTAAGTCAAGTGTCATCTTGGACACCAACGACGTGAAAAATATTAATTTAATTATGACAATAAAGTCAGGTTCAGGGCACCCGATATCACTCTGGCCAACGAAAACTGTGTGCAAAAAGAATTTTTCAAAGAAGTAGATCTCAAAGCAATCAGCCCTGGCGAGTTTGCTCTGGGATCCTATCAGTTGATATAAAACTCTGAATTTAAATGAACATCTATAAATGGGTCCAGTCCTTGGAACCAATTTCATTTGTCAATCATTAAACGTGACCTATTTAAATTAATTTAAGACAGCACGTTTTACTTTACACACAAATTAGTTGCTATGATAATATTTGATTATATCAACAAATATTTTATCCGAGAATCCACTCTAGACACCATCGCGCATATGTAGAGTTCCAAATGAAAAACAAAATCATCAAGAAGTACTTGCGTGTTTTGTGTTTTATCAATGCACTTTAAAGGGAAACACTAGACCTGAATAAATATTCACAAGTTTGATAAATGCGTATCAAAATAAATGAATTAAATGATAAGCAAATAAGCATGGAGCAATTTTCGTTTTATCATATAAGTTCCGCCAATTTCGAGGTAATGGATAAATATTTTCTCCCTGAATCTTTATCTCCTTCTCTCTCTTTGTCTCTTTTTCTCTCTCTTTCTCACTTTCTCTTTCTTTCTATCTTTCCACTATTTTCTCTTTCTCATTCACTCTCTTTTTTCTTTTTCTCACTCTCTTTATCTCTCTCTTTCTTTTTCTGTCGCTCTGTCTCTCACTTTCTCTCTCTATCTTTCTCTGTACTATATCCGTTCAGAACGAAGACAAACACGCCTCTCCACAACTTCCTATATTTTACTTTACTCAGTCATTTTTGCCTTATAACGCTCTTTTCGGTTCTCTTCCTGGTATTTTAGTCCAGTATTTCTGCCACACCTGGAGCTGCACAGTCCTCCCATTGCAGCTTTGAAAGGGTCCAAAATCTGTTACGAAGACTTTTCATATGTAGATCTTTACATGTGGCCTATTTAAATTAATTTAAGACAACTCGTCTCATCTTATTCACGTATTTGTTGCTACGATAATATTTGATTATGTTCAACAATATTTTATCCGATAATTGATCAAGATATTCCACTCTAGACACCATCGTGCATATTTGAGTTCCAAATGTAATTGCGTGTTTTGTGTTTTATCAATGCAGTTTAAAGAGAAACACGAGACCTGAATAAATAGTCACAAGTTTCGTAAAGGCGTATAAATATAAAGGAATTAAATGATAAGCAAATAAACATGAAAAACTACAAATGTATTTGTAATTTTTCTTTTCATATAAAACCGCCATTTTCTCTCTCTTTTCTTCCCTCACTTTCGCTCATTTTTCTTTCTTTTGCTCTTTTTCTCATTCCTCCTCGCTTTATCTCTCTTTCTTTTTCTCTCTCACACGCACACCGTTTCTCTCTCTCTCTGTACTATATCCTTTCAGGAGGAAGACAATCACGTCTCTCCACAACTTCCTATGTTTTGCTCCACGCAGTAATTTTTACTTTTTTTTTACTATAACTTTTGGTACAGCACTTCTGCCATATCTGGACTGGAGCTGCACGATCCGCCCATTCCAGCCCTGACAGAGTTTAAAATCGGTTACGCGGTCTTGGAGGGGAATATCTATTCTCCGCTCTGCAGTTTTTTTTCCCTTCACCTCGACAATGCCTACTGGGATCGTTTTTGTTCTTTTTTCTCTCTCTCTCTCTCTCTCATTCACTCTTTTTTATTTTCTCTCATTTTCTCTCATGTTTCTTTCTCTTGCTCTTTCTCTCTTTCCCCCGCTTTATTTATTTTCTCTCTCTCTCTCTCTTTCTTTGTACTATATCCATTCAAGATGAAGATAGCCACGTCTCTCCATATTTTTCTACCTTTTACTTCTCTCAATGTTTGCTCCATAACGCTTTTTTAAATTTCTATTCTTGATACTTTTGTTACAATATTTCTGCCATATCTGGATTGGAACTTCCCTGTCTTCCCATTCCAGCCATGATAGAGTTCAAAATCGGTTACGCGGTCTTGCATGGGAAGACTTATTCTCCTCTCTTCAGATTCTTCTCCCCTTTACTCGTAATAGTAAATGTAATCCATTAGCTTTCAATAAAAACTAAAATGAAAGCTTCGAGAAACCTTTTTCACTTTTGAAAATACATTTTAATCCTTACGTGTCGCGAATTAGTGGAAGTCCCTAGACAAAAATATTGTATTCAATTTACACAAACAGACAAATATAGGACAGTGTCTTTTGTAGCATTAGTTAAAAAGGGATTATCTCTGTTTGATGACGTCACTGATGTGTTCCTATATAAAAAGGTGCCGCTACAAATGATTTTACCCCTTTCTGAAGATAAGAAATTTAGTAGCAGTTAAAAAGTAATGATCTCTGTTGGACGACGTCCTTTGTGTGGTCTTATTTACAAGGTACTGGTTCAACTAATTTCGCCTCCTTTCTAAAGGTAAGATATCACACTTTTCATCAATTCTATTAATTATTGGAATCTAACACCATTGTTCGAAATCAAGAAATTTTACGAAGTGTTATTAACTTGTGGTCTAAAAAATATCTTCTGAGTAAAAAAAAACCCAAAAAAACAATGACGTGGCAAAAGATTAAAAAAATATTTACAGAAAAAAGAAAAACTGAGAATATATCTTTGAATATGAGAAGCAGAAAAACTTCGTTAGAAAGAAAGAAAAGTGTGCTGGATTTCTATGTGATGTCCATCGTCTTATGTGGCAGTGAATGTTGGTCACTCTTCCCACTGATGAGGAGAGAAATGGAAGAAACTGAAATGCAATAAATTGTTTTCCATTTTACCACTCCTTTCCCCAGACGAAATGTTGCGAGCGTCTTGCTACTCTATCGCTCTTTCCATGGAAAATTTTCAGACAAGCTACATTTCTTGATTCCCCCAATTTTGACCCTCACCTTCCTTTAGTAAGGAGTAAGTTCCAGTCGGATAGCTTCTTCCTCAAGAACTGTTGCTTTGTGGAACATAATTCCAGTCGGATGCTTTTCCGGGTCCTACAATCTTAACCTCTTCAAGCAGAGGTTTAACCGTTATCTTTCACATATCACCGCATAAACTGTGCCGCTTACTCTTCTTGTCCCTCACACAACAACTGCCTTCAGTAACTGTCTATATTGAGGGGCCCTTAGATGGAGTAAAGAGTGAATATTAGCAAAAGAAAAGAAAAAGAAAACGTTTTGTGTAAGACTTGGCGGTTATATATTATAATTTATTAATAGTTTTAATGTTTCGTTATGAATTAACATCAAATATATATATATATATATATATATATATATATATAATCAACAAAATCAATTTAAAAAAGAAATAATCTCAATAGAATTTACCAAATTTAAGAATGATTCTACAAATGTCGTAAATGGCAGTTTTGAAATATATCTTTGCTATCAATGTGAAGATAAATATTCTTTAGAGTACAAGAATGACCAACGACCAAGTTGTAACTAAGTTTAACAATCATGACTTGGAAGTTACCTAACTTATTAATAGTTATAATGTTAGTCCTTTCGCTGTTATATTAATTAGCATCAAATATACGTCAAACATATTTTATATTATCAAAACAATCAATTTAAAACCTGGAATTTTAAATAAATATTCTTAACGGAATTTACAAAATTTAAGAATTATTTTAGAAAAGCCGAAATAGCATTTTTTATATATATCTTTGCTACTAATGAGAAGATAAATATTGCAATAAAAACAATGTCATGCTAATTATTATTTGGATAGCATCAGCGAAATCAAGACAGACCAATTACCGGTTTCCTGATATGTATCTGTATATCTATCGATCCATATCAGTTTCATCAGAATTATCTAGCCTAGTTTCTTCACATCTATTATGTATCTGTTCATATCTATACATGTCTGTTTCCATCTAACTACCGATCTATGTTTGTTTACATCTATTTATTTATGTCTGTTTATATCTATCTATCTATCTATCTATCTATCTATCTATCTATCTATGTCTGTTTCCATCTATCATTCTATTTCAGTTTCTTTATATCTATCAATCTCAGTTTCTTTACATCTATTATCTATCTCTTCATATCTATCTATCTATCTATCTATCTATCTATCTATCTAACTGTTCCTGTCAAACTCCCTATGTTTCCGTCTCTCAATGTCTGTTTCCATCTACACATCAATTTCTTTATCTCTGTCTCTTTATATTTATCTAACTATCTATGATGGTTTATATCTGTATATCTAAGTTCACATCTATCTTTTGATTTATGTCTATCTCCAACTATCTATCTGTCTGTCTATCGCTCTCTCTCTCTCTCTCTCTCTCTCTCTCTTTATCAAGTTTCTTCACATCTATTTACTAACTAAACAAGAAGACCGCCCAGAAGTTTTGCAGGAGATTCCGAAGTCGTCTGTCGATTTTCTTTAACAAATTTACTCTTAACTGTTTCAATATAATTTGGTATAATTATGGTAAATATGTCTATTAAAATGAGATGCCTGTGTTATTTTATATTTGCTTAATTTAGACGACAATTTATCCATCGCAACCTGTATAGTAGTGATTTTCCAAGCGTAGCTCAGATGTGGCACAAGGCCGAAAATATGAGGCACCCAGTGAGGATCGAACTAACTACTCAGTCGTAATATTTCTAGCGAGACAAGCATGCTAACCATTACACCATCTCGGTGTGCCCATCGCAACCTGTATAGTATAATATGTATAACAATATATAACAACCATATTGTATATAGTACAGATATATCTATACACATATGAAGGGCTGTTGTTTCTATGTGTGTTTGTGTGTGTCCGGCTAAAACTAAAAACTGAAAAATTTACCACAAAATAAATATACGTATTATTATCACCCAAGTCAGCTTTTTTTTTTTTTTTAAATATCACTGTATGATTTGTATGTATGACGATATTTTACGATTAAAATGCATTAGAATGCAGTCGAAATTCTCAGAATTAAAAAGTAAAAACGAACGGTAATAATACTTATTTCCCATAATTATTACCGTTCATTTTTACTTTTTAATTCTGCTGTTAATTTCGAAAAAAATCTTTTTCATTCTTTTGAATTTATTTTCACTTCTATAAAAAATAAAAGCGTAAATTTAAAAAAATAAATATTAAAACAACAAAGAAAATTTAAATGAAGAAGAATATTAAATACAATTATTTCAAAAAAGGGTAATATTTATTTATTCAAATATTCGAGTGTATTTACTTCAAAAATGTGCGGCTTAGCTTGTCGTAGAAGTTCTTCGAAAGAAATATCCGACCGTTCAGGTGAGTATAAAATAATATTTATTTCCAGAAACCAAAGTTATGGGATTTATATAATCAAGTAAATCATTCATCCCGTTCTTCGAGAAAGATGTTATCTCAGTCGACTCAGTTTAAGTTTATTTACTTTATTTAGGTGACTTAAGGTAAATAAAGTTTTACTTTTAAACATTACGTTAAAGAAGCAAACATTTCTCCGTAAATTAATTTAATTGCTAACTATTTTGAAAGAGAGTAGAAGCAACATACATTGAGAATTTAGAATTGAAAATCGATTGAGTTTACATTTCAAGTTATATTTCCATTTGAAAAGAAAAAATATAGTTTAATAAAAATTAAGAGACAGACATGAGTTACGGTCAACATGTATCGTATTGAATATTTGTTTTACGAATTTAACTATATTTTATTTAAATTGAAGTGAATTTCGATAAAAATATGGGGATGCTAAGCGCCCCATCTGCCCCGAGCGCGGTATTAGTAGAGTGGTATTTTCCTAAATTTAGTTATTTTTTAACAAAAAAAAAAAAAAAAAAAAAATGAACTTTATTATTTTCCATAAGATGCCTGAAAAATATAAATGAATTGTGAACAATAATCTATGATTCAGAAATCTTCCGAGGAACGGCGGGTATCCCCGCTAGTATCGTATAAAAGATGATTTTAAAAAAAATATGCAAAAGGAACTAGAGACAAATGACAGCGAGTCCCAACAAACAGTCACGTTGTTTGCACAAAGAAGGCTTACGGGACCCGATGTAAAGTACCTCCAGAACCTTTAGAGACCGGGACAACACGGTGAACCCGTCAACACTAAATTTGGCTGCACAATCTCTGTTCTTTAATAGGTGTTCGCATATGGGGGAACTGTAGGTGTTCGGGACGAGTCCATTCAAAAGCAGGATGTGGTTTCTAATTTTTGTAGGAACGCGTTGTTTTATTCTCATGTCTAAGCGTTGAGTTGTTCTCCCTATGTAGTCGGCTCCGCAACTACAAACGTATTTGTAAATAATTGTTTTTTCTCTGCTGAAGTTCGGATTATTTTTCCAACTCGGCCTATGTTTCGATCTGCGTGTAAAGACGTTCTCCCTCCCCATAAAATTAATTCAATTATTTCCCTGATCCCACGTTAAAAAAAAAACCGGCCTCGTGTCACATGATGCCCCAGTGGGGGGATGACTGAATATCGTCTGTCGTTCAAGTCTCGACCGGCTGATCGGTTGAACTCTCTGCCTTCGGGCGGGGAGGAACCCAAACGAGGCTACGCCGAAGTGCGGATTCTCTTTCGGGGATGTAAACCGACCCTGAAACCGTTATACGGGTTCAATGGGCATATTCTGAATATCGTCAGTAGTTCAAGTCGAGTCATGAGTCGAGACAGAGGCAGTCCAAAACAGAGTCGGGTTCAGACAATTACTGCAAGACATTGGAATAGTGATACTGGTCGAGACTACATTGTTCTCTCTACTAAATCTGATTGTTCATACTAACACTTCTACTTCTATGTATATATTCCTGTTTGTAATATGTCTGTGTTATTCCATACCCGTGTTCGAGTTCTTCTTTAATGGTTCTACCTTGGACTATCACCGTGTAAAAGGAACCGGACCATAACACTTATATATATATATATATATATATATATATATATATATATATATATATATATATATATATATGTACACACACACACACACACACACACACACAGATATATATATATATATATATATATATATATATATATACAATCATTATTGATAAAAAAAACACTTGATTTGTTCTGTTTCTGCTACTTCTCTGAAAAAAAAAATTATTATTATCATTGTTAATATTATTGATATTTTAATCCGCATTTGAATTAAAGTTAATATTCTTTTTTCTTCTTACACTGAGAATAACAAAGAATGGATAGAACACAAATGGAAATATTTGTTGAATTAAATGTCTACTGTGTTCAAATGAAAATATGCAATTTGAAGGGAAATAATCTTATTTCGTTTTAATAGGAATTTAAGTTTTTTATAGGAATTTCAGTTTTTGTAGGAATTTCAGTTTTTGAGAATCGGAGATCTTATCAATCAAAACGAGGAATTTTAAAGGAAAGTAGCTATATGTTATTTTGATAGTAATATTAAACCGTCGTCCGTTTTGTAACTTATTTTATCATTTCGGTGGCTTTCATTATCAATGAATACTTGAAATTATGAATCCATGTTGAAGAAATGATATAAGTCGTATAATCTTGATGTAATTGTTTCTTGTATGAATGAGATGATTTCTTCCTGTTATTAAATAAAATTCATATTCGGTTTTTAAAATATTCTTTCTTTCAGATCCATCCTGTTTTACTATTGTTCACAAGAAATATTTTCAATTCCTCACAATGAAACTGACACGACTTTTACAAGTTATAATTGTCGCCATTCTGTCAATTCGACTGACCAGTACGAACAACATCCTTTTCTTGTCATTGCCTTATTTTAGCCATATCAAGCCAATGGCTGAAGTGGCTGGAAAACTGACGAATTATAGACACACAAACTACATCCTTATCACTGAGATGATGGATGGAAAATTCCGTCCAGTGAAAGATGAAGTGACCTTCGTCATAACAGAGAATTTTCCAGATTATAAGATATTCCTTGATGAAGCAACAGAAGCGTTAACATTACACGTTTTAATAAATATGGCGACAAAGATGAGGACAGTAGTCCGAATAATATAAATAGTGAACTTAAAATGTCGTCATACTACTAATAGATGAGGTACATAATACCTCATCTCAAAAATATAGACACATATTAACTTACATTGAGGAATTTATCTATGATTATATGGGAATAAGCGATTTAAAAGTTTCAATAAATGTTGCAATCTAAAATATCGTAGGGAAGAAGGAAATATATCAGGAAACTTTAAATTGAGTTCATTATCACCTTGCACTAATACACTTCGGTAATATTGAAATCGAGTCTATTACCAGGTTTGTATTTGGAAACGGGCACAGAAATTGCAATATTGGATAGAACAGATATGGAAATATTTGTAGAAATAAATATCGACTGTGTTCAAATGAAAACGTAATCTGAAGAGAAATAAACTTATTTCATCTTTATAAGAATTTCAATATTTTGAGATGGTCTTAAAGATTTTATAGGATTGGAGATCTACTTTTCAATCAAAACGAGAAATTTTGAAGGAAGATGTGTCCTTTTGAGAGTAATATTAAACCGTCGTCCGTTTTGTAACTTATTTTATCACTTCGGTGGCTTTCATTATCAATAAATACTTGAAAATATGAATCCATGTTGAAGAAATGATATAAGTCGTATAATCTTGATGTAATTGTTTCTTGTATGAATGGGATGATTTCTCCCTGTTATTAAATAAAATTCATATTCGATTTTTTTTTTAAATTATTTCTTTCTTTTTCAGATTCATCCTGTTTTACTATTATTCATAAGAAACAATTGCAATTCCTCACAATGAAAATGACACGACTTTTTCAGGTCATCATATTCGCCATTTTATCAGATCGACTGTCCGGTATGAACAACATCCTTTTCTTGTCGTTACCTTATTTTAGCCATATCAACCCGATGGTTCAAGTGGCTGGAGAACTGACGAATTATGGACACACAAGCTACATTCTAATCACTGAGAAAATGGATGAGAAATTCGATCCAATAAAAGATGGAGTGAACTTCGTCATAACAGAGGAGTTTCCAGAGTTTAAGATATTTACTGATGAACTGCGTGAAGTGTTAAAATTTCCAGAAAAAAATATGTAGTAGAAAAGCTATCAGTAGCCTCCAAAAACTATGTGATCGTTAACTTCTCAACGAAGAACTTTTTCGAAAACTGAAATCATTCAATGCATCTCTAGCGGTTATTGAATCGAATTTAGAGAGCGATTGTCTGGCTATTTTCGCATACAGACTGGAAATACCTTTCATTTTCCTGGGTCTAGAAAACCATGTTTTCATTCACCGAACACTGTGGTTACTTTCAGTTATTCCACATTTTCATCTCTTCACGACTAAGATAACATCTTTCTCGAAGAAGATCGAAAACGTGATGAATCATTTAAATGATTATATGAATCCAACATTTTGGTTTCCGGAAGTAGATATTAAGGTATACGCACCCGAACGTCCGGACATTTATTTTGAAAAACTTCTTCGACAAGCTCAACTGCATATTGTGGATTCGGATTACTTTCTCCATCGAGCATTACCAGCACTTCCAAATGTCAAATACATTGGCGGAATAGCTACCCAGCCGGCGAGACCACTAAAAGGAAAAATTTTAAAATTTGTCAGTGCTTCTAAACATGGTGTCATCGTTGTCTCTCCAGAAAGTCGTGTCAGTTGGGGCATTCACGTAAAGAAAATGGAAGAAGCTTTCAGTAAGATCAAATACGATGTCGTCTGGAAACATTCAAATACTTCTTATTCCCGCCCAAATGTTCTACTTACAAAATGGCTGCCCCAAACCGATCTTCTTGGTCACCCCAACACCAAACTGTTTATCACCCATTGTGGAAACAGCGGCCAATATGAAACCTTGTACAATTCTGTTCCTATCATTGGATTTCCAGTTCATTTTGATCAACCGTTGAATAGTCAGAACATGCAAATGAAAGGATTCGGAATCTCAATGGACCTCAATAATTTCACAGTGGACGAGTTGGTTAGAAATATCTAGGACGTCATTGAGAATCCAAAATATAAGAAAAACATTGCAAAGATGAGCGAAATATTTCGTCAACAAGATCTCCCATCGGCCAGAGCAGCCCGTCTTGTAAATGAGATCGTGAAATATGGAGGCGATCATTTAAGATCAGAGATTCAAGACATTCCATTGTATGAGTTTTTAATGCTTGATATTTTGGCCGTCCTTTTTTTGGCTGGTTTTATTGTTTTGTTTTTGTCGGTCTTTCTTTTGAGAGAATTTTTCTCCATTAATTGCAGAGAAAAGAAAAAAAATTGAATGAATCTGAACCATTCAATTTTTATATCAGCATTTATTTAAAAAAAACATTATATATATATAGAAAAAATATTGATTATATGTATATAATTGATATAATTTTAATAAAAATATTGATTTGAAGATATCTATCAATCCATTTATCTGTAAATCCTCTCTTCCTATATATATATATATATATATATATATATATATATATATATATATATATATATATATATTTTTTGAATTTGTAGGTCTGATGATTGGTTCGTGATTACGATTCCAATGTAATAAATTATAACCATGGAATATTAGTGTTTGAGCCATTTTAATATATATATATATATATATATATATATATATATATATATATATATATATATATATATATATAGAGAGAGAGAGAGAGAGAGAGAGAGGTGCACCATTAGGCAGGCATACGTTCGATGAATATATCTCAGTTTGACTAAGATGGTCATCATCAGTTGTATCAGATCTCTATCTATCTATCTCTCTATCTGTTGAAACTTGAATAAAGCATGGAATAATAATACAACACAAAATGTACTTAAACAAAATGTATTGACACAAGAACGTGTACACAATGTTTACAGATAGTTTGGTATATTCTTGGGAAGACCGTTCCTGTAGAATGGGTTGACTTAGTCGCAGTCGGGCAGAGTCTCTGGATGGGATCTCTTCTTCCTCACCCGTCTTCCCGGTACCAACCATATTTATATGGTCGGTACTCCACTATGTAAATTAGGTGGATCGTACCACAACACTATCTCAGTTTCATTTTTATCTATCTATCTCAATTTCATATTTATCTATCTATCAATCTCAATTTCATATCTATGTATCTATCTGTTTCGTATCTATCTATCTATCTATCTACCTATCTATCTCAGTTTCATCTTTATCTAGCTATCTATCTATCTATCTATCTCAGATTCATATCTGTCTATCTATCTCAGTTTCATATCTATCTATCTATCTATCTATCTGTCTATCTATCTATCTATCTATCTATTGATTCAATAGAACATGCGATTGAGGATTTTCTGTTGACCCACACACTCTTGCTAAGCCGCCAATAATCCTGAGGGCCAAACTTGCTTGATGGAATACGTTGCTTGATTATATTAAAAAATAACTTTGCTTCATTAACACACGCTCGCACTCGAGGAGAAACAAAGAGACGTCTGAGGAAATCAGACATGTCTCTCCGCTACAGACGGAAGAAGTGATTCCTATGGGCCATAGATCCTGGGCAAGCAGGTGAGAACCAAGAAGATGAATGCGATTTAACTTGCTATCTTTCTGCTGGCATGAAAGCTTAGATGTTGAATTTTACACAGGAGGAAACATCAGCTTCACATTTTTGAACGGGATGATTAAAAAATTAGAAAGAAAATCCCGGAACGAGTCCCAGTCTGCGTTTTGTTAACAAAAAGGTATTCTGTTAGAAGGAGTTTCATGCCTGAATGGGGCGTGGTAGGAGATATTAGCAAATGCAACCACCTGATCAAATTTGCCAAGAGGGTAAAGATGCGTGTGGAGGTAAAGCAGTGATCGAGAAGGGAAGCGTTACCGTCGGTGTAACTGGGGAAACGCTCAGGAAAAGTAAGCCTCTTGGGTGAGGGATTGAGTGAATGAAAAGTTAAGGATTTGGATGCCAGCGAGGTCAGTTACAGAGTGTTTAAGCCACATCTTATGGTGGGCGTTAAAGTCACCGAACACGAATATGTTTGCAAACTGATGGAGAGAGATTGCTGCGTCATTAACTATTATTTCAAGTTCATAACGTTTTGTACGTCGAACCTTTTTTTTAGGACCGACTTAGTGAAATACAAGCCTCCACTGTAAAAAGCTACTCTACAACAATTATCGGAAGTGCTATCACTACACAGCAGCGTTGAGAAGTAGGGGAACAGAAGACGAAAAGAGATAACTTACCGCATTGAGCAAAGATACACGGAGGATTATATACGGATGGTCTGGAGATTTCAAAGTAAGTTGCCTAGGAACCAGGAGAAAACGGCCGACATAAACTCCCAGGCCATATATGTTGATTTTAGAGTCCTTTCTTAGGAGAGGATGGTAGCAGGTAATCAGGAAATCAGAAAAAGGTATTCACGAGTTAAGGTTAATCTCTCAGTTCATATCTAGCTCAGTTTCATCATATCTAAAAGAGTATCTTCACATGAATTATGTATGTATGACGTCGTCCCCTGGTCGCAGCGCCAACTGTGACGTTCTATCCTGATCTACCACGGCACCAGTTGTGACGTCCCCAAACAGCACCAATTGTGACGTCCTCGCCGCGGCGCCAGCTGTTCGCTCTTTGCTGCTCCGTTCGGGTGTCGCTGCTCCAAACGTGACGTCCGTCTGTCGCGTCAGTCGTGTTGTCTCGTCCTGTGACGACCAACTTGGCTTGGTATCGGTCGCGGCACCCAAATGTGACGTTCTAACCTTTTGGTGATTCGGGTGGGAATCTGGTTAGATTTGATATCAGCCTCGTCGTTCCCAATTCGTTTCCAACGCCTGGTTACCAAGGTAAATGCATTGATCTCCAGTCTGCCTACCCACGTTGTGAATTGATCTTAGGCAGACGAGATCAATCAGTAGTCGGGGCCGTAATGCAAACTGAGTTCAACGGGGGTGATACCACACAAATATGCATAAAATAAAATAAAATGAAAACTCAAAAATTTCAAAGTATCAAAGAAAAAGGTAACAAACTTTATGTCTAGTTGTTCGATACATAGGACTGCATCTATCTCCCGACCCGTTCTGTGGATTGTGACACGTCGTTTTCCGTTAGGCAAGTTTTAACGCTTCATGTTGTTTGCTCTCTAAGAAATTGGTGTTTCGGTGTGTCTTTGGACGAAAGTCGAAAAAAACTTATTTCGGTGGTCTGGATCTAAGTCGCTCTTCAAAATAATTGTTCTTGGGTTGAAGAGGAGTCCGGAATTTGCGTGAATCTTGGTCAGCTGAACTTACTGGAACTGCTGGAGCATGAACTGATTTCTGCTCGTAGGGGCTTCGCTTTTATGGACGCCAACCAAAACCGGGGCGGGTCTGTCGGCGTCGGAGGTTCCTCGATAATTCTAAATACATATCTACCTCTTTTGTTTCTGGTTAGGGATTTTCCACTCTTTTCCATTTTTGAGAACCTTTTCTCACTCCCACCTTCTCACCATACTTCAGAGGGCGTGAACTGCCCTCCCCACTTCTTCGTAGCAGCTTCTCATACCTATACTCTGGATGAGGCGTCGACAGCCTCCTTCGTGCGTCACGTGATCACCACTTGACCAATGATGTCTTAGTCGGCGTGGACGAATCCGCGGCTTTGTTTCAGGAAGAAAAAAAAATATATTGCTTAACTAAAAAAAAATTATCTCTTCTCTTTTCCCTTTCTTCCTCTTAATCGCCGTTATCATTTCCCTAGCCACAAACGGGACAATATGTCTTGTTCTACGCGTGGTTTTTGTCAGGTATTTTATCGCTAATTATCAGAATGGGTGGTCTTCTTAACACGGCCTCAAAAAAGAAACATCTCAAAATTTCAGTTAGTCCTTCGGCCTCGAAGCAAGAAGAAAAAACACTTCTGGGTCCCCATTCATTTTCTTTCGGTACATATTTCTGATAACATAATTTTATTATCGTAGGCCAAAGATGTTCTGCGGCAAGAAAAAATCGGTCAGTGTAGTTACTTCGTGTGTGTCGCGATTAATTTTTTCATATCTACCCAAAGCCCTGTAGTTACACCTGTGTTTTGTCAATTATCAAAATTAACGTTTTCAATTGGACTTTTCTTTGGCGAATATTTCTTGATAACATAATTTTATTATCGCAGGCATAAAGATGTTCTGCGGCAAGAAAATCGGTCAGTGTAGTTACTTCGTGTGTGTCGCGATTAATTTTTCCATATCTATTCAAAGTCCCTGTTTTTCGTCACTTATCGAAATAACATTTTCACTTGAATTTTTTCTTTGGCCAGTCGACCAGCCGTTTGTTTGCGTCCCCCTAGATAACACAGCCGTTATCAAAACACATCTGATTCTTTCTTTCTTTCCCTTTCTTTTTACTCAGAATTTCCCTGTCATTGTAATGACACCCTTTCGCCATTTGTTACTTATCAATATATTCATTGTCTCTTAGCCGTGTGTGTGTCTGCTTATCACCCACGATTCGTCTCGCCTTTCTTTCTGCCTTCTTTTCTTTCTTTTCCTTTTCTGCCTCGTAAATAGTGCCTCATATGTATGTGTTCATACCTGACTATGTCAATGTCTTCTCAGCTATCTAAGTACGTATATATGAGGATCCTCAATTATCTATCTATGTATGTATCTATCTGAGTTTCATCACATCTATCTATCTAAGTACGTATATACAAGGATCCTCAATTATCTATCTATGTTTATAAGTTTCATCATATCTATCTATCTAAGTACTTATATTCGAGGATCCTCAATTATCTATCTATCTATCTATCTATCTATCTATCTATCTAAGTACTATATACGAGGATCCTCAATTATCTATCTATCTATCTAAGTAATATATACGAGGATCCTCAATTATCCATCTATCTATCTATCTATCTAGCTATCTATCTAAGTACTATATACGAGGATCCTCAATTATCTATCTATCTATCTATCTATCTATCTATCTATCTATCTATCTAAGTACGTATATACGAGGATCCTCAATTCTCTATCTAGGTACTTATATCCGAGGATCCTCAATTATCTATCCATCTATGTTTCTAAATTTCATCATATCTATCTATCTATATATCTAAGAACGTATATACGAGGATCCTCAATTATCTAAGTACTTATATTCGAGGATCCTCAATTATCTATCTATCTATCTATCTATCTATCTATCTATCTATCTAAGTTTCATATCTATCTATCTACCTATCTATCTATCTAAGTACTATATACGAGGGTCCTCAATTATCTACCTATCTATATACTAGGATCCTCTGAAATATGTGTTAAAAATATGGTAAAATTGAAAACCCCCTTGGAGAATATGCCTCGATATGAATTGGTGTTCTTTTGTCAGTATTATCGTTCTTATTTTCCGCCGACCAACCAATCTAATTTTCTAATAATATATTATTTTAAATCTTCAATTTTTTTGTCTTTCCTGTTTCATTCGCTTGCCAACTGTGTTATCTAGCGAGATGAATTGGTTTAAATTCTCTATATTAGATCCGCGTGCATATGCATAAGTGAGATTTACTTAATCCTTAATTTAATTTCAGGACATTTTTTATTGTTTTACAGCCGATAATTAAAACAAATCAGAATATTTCGAATTTGGTGAATAAATATGCGTAATATTTAAACAAACTCAGAAATAATAAGAAATATACTGTTGTTGCTTTTCTTTATTCAGAATTAAGGTTGAAGGGAGTCCCATCAGGCATTATTAGTCAAATTTTTGAATTGTGGTGCTTTTGTCAGGATCGCTGTTCTTATTTTACTCTCAGTAGCCAATCTGAGGTTCTAATAAAATATTTCTTCAAAGCTTCAATTTTTTATATCTATTCTATTTCTCTCACTTGCCAACTCTGGTACTTAGCGAGATGAATTGGTTTAAATTCAGTGAATTAGCTCCACTCACATATACATAAGTGACATTTACCATGTGTCATTACTGATCTTAATTTCTGGTGAAATGATGAATTGAGATGAATTGGTTTAAATTTTCTAAGATCATTAAATAAATCATATTTCTTCCAAAATGGAGCCAAATCCTGCACAGATGGAATATAGTCAAGTCCATTATTACATATTACATGACCATATGCATTAATAACATTTACCAGATATCCTAACTGTAGTTAATTTCAGGACATTTTTGTTGTTTTAAATGCGATAATTAAAACAAATCAGAAGATTTCAAATTAGAAGAAACAAACGCAATATTTAAACAAACTCAGAAATAATAAGACATATAATGTTGTCGCTTTTTCTTTATTTAGAATTAAGGTTGAAGTGAGTTACATCGGGCATCATTGGTCAAATCACTATGAAGAAGTTTGACCAATGACACTGATGCCCAACATTTTTTGAATATCTGTGATCTGCCATTTCTTTCTGAGGTAGACCAATTACCATTCAAGGCTATAGAACCCGGTCTGTCCTACTATTTACCCATAGATGGGTGGGGAAGAAAAAAGATTCATGCCTTTTCCTAAGGGTATTAGCACGTAAGTGAATGTAATTGATTCGACTGGAATTCGATCTCGGCGCGACGTTTCCTCAATCCAAGCCGCTATCCATTACTCCACCGACAAACTTCAGTTAATACATATTACATGGGCATACTCATTGTTGTGATTTACTAGTTATCTTTACTGTAGTTAATTTCTTATTTGTTGTTTTAAAGGTGACAATTAAAACAATTCGGAAGATATCAAATTTGGTGAATAAATAAACGTAATATTTAAACAAACTCAAAAATAATAAGAAATATACTTTTGTTGCTTTTTCTTTATTCAGAATTAAGGTTGAAGTGAGTTACATCGGGCATCATTGGTCAAATCAGAGGTCTGACCAATGACAATGATGCTTAATATTTTTTGTGTATCTGTGGTCTGCCATTTCTTTCTGCGGTAGACCAATTATCATTCAAGGCGGAGAGAAGAAGAAGAAGATTCATGCCTTTCCCTAAGGGTATTAGCACGTAAATGAATGTAATTGATTCGACTGGAATTCGAACTCGGCGCGACGATTCCTCAATACGAGCCCCTATCCATTACTCTACTGACAAATTTCTGTTAATAAATATTATATGGGCACAATCATCGGTGGGATTTACTAGATATCCTTACTGTAATTAATTTCTTATTTGTTGTTTTAAAGGTGATAATTAAAGCAATTCGGAAGATATCAACTTTGGTGAACAAATAAACGTAATATATAAACAAACTCAGAAATAATAAGAAATATACTTTTGTTGCCTTTTCATCATTCAAAATTAAGGTTGAAAGAATTTAGACTATGCATGATTATCATTGGTCAAACCCCCGTGAAGCATATATTGTCTTATCACAAGCTTAGAATATGTTTGGTTCTGTAATCTGGCGGAAGGCAAAAGACATAACGAAGGAAAATTCTATCACAGAAAGAAAGAAAAAAAAAACAAGATTATCTCCCTTGTCGAATTGAAACCCTTTACAATAACGTTCACTATTATGGTGATTCAATTAGCTTTTACTAAATGCTATTGGATTCAACACTGTTTGGACATTAACTAAAACTCTAGAGGCTAAGCTTGATAGACCCTACACTCGAATCCAGAGAGTTATACGTATTATCTCTTGGAGACATTGAAATCATATCTATGGACCCATCCCTGATATTTTCAACAATCTTACGCAATCGCAGAATGCGCTTTGCAGGACACCACTGCCGAGAAAAAAAAAGAAATTTAGAAGGAACTGCTGCCCTGGACGTTTAGTCACCGTTCAAGGCGAACTGATCACCCAGAAACCACCTACATTGAAAAAAAAAACTATTTAATAACATAGGATGCCACCTTAATGACCTTGTGACGTTGATGCAAGACTCTGATGTTTGGCGTTATAGACTCCTGAATGTCCGCGGTAGCGAGACCGACTATTAATACTAGGAATATGTTCTTAATAGAACTAAGTAAGAACAGAAAAGCATTGCTTTAGAGCTGTGACTTTTAGCCTCTAGGAATCTAGGTTTGCTAGGTAAATTTTTAAGTGCATGAAATAAATTTTCGAAAGATGCCTAAAATGCCCCTCCGAATGGAAAATATATCTACAGAATAGAAAATAAGTCTTCTCTGTATTTAACAAATCTTTGTAAATATAATACTTTTGTTTTTATACAGAGACGATTATTAAACCTTCGTTTTTTTATAAAATGTTCTTTTAAAGCTTTAATCTTGTTAGTCTGTTACGGATTTGAATCAACCCAAAAAAAAAAAAAAAGTCGAGAAATGTTTTTCTAAATAAAAATTATAAAATATCTTTATTTTCCTGTTTTTACAACTAATTTTTTCTCACCGTGTATTTCCTACTAATAGCAAACTTAGCAAGATCTTTAACAAAAACACCTTAAAATTAAGTTACAGTTGCTCTGAAAATCTAGAAAGAATCATAAAAGAACATAATAATAAAATCCTGGAAAATCACGCATGCCAAAATAGTATTAATAAAAAACGCTAAAGAAAAATTAATCAAAAATAATGAAAAATTATGTGATTGTAGAAACCCTAAAAACTGCCCGTTAGAAAATAAATGCCGCATAAAATCTGTGGTATACCAATGTACTATCTCATTCACTGAGAGTACTAACACTGAAATGATATATATATGTTCCACGAAAAATGAATTTAAAATTAGATGGAGACAACAATAATATTAGAAATTGAAACCAGACATCCCTATCCAAATATTTTTGGCATTTAAAAGAAATAAATAAAACACCAAAATAAAATGGAAAATAATAAATAGTACAAGCACACGGATTAGTTGGAAAAAATTCTAGTAGACATATTGAATAATTCCCGGAAACCCATGCTTTAAAGAAAAAAAAAAAAAATTATCACGAGTACAGACCACTTCTTACGAAGGGCTTTATCGATATAAAATATGTGTGTGTATTTTTTTTTTAATTGGTCAGTGAAAAATTTCTGATCTTGAGTCTCTGGGTGGGGCACGAAAAGAAATGTGTGGACACCAGAAATCAATGAAAATAATAATAATAATATTAATAATAATAATCAACAATTTTGATCTCCATCAGTATGGCTGATGCTAACCCACGGGAAAGCATCTCATTACGCCTTCTTTCTCTCACGTTCTCTACTGACATGAAGTGGGGGGATTATGTCGAATCAATTAAGGAATATGTTCCTGTTGGATAACTTCTTCCCAAGAACTACCATATTTGGTCTGGTGCTCCGGTTATATATCCTTGACAAAATCCAGAGAAGGGTCTGTAATGTTGTTCATCTTGACTTCAGTCACTTTCACAAAAAAAAAAGAAATACTTCTATTTAAAGAAATGCTTACCCTAGATCTCGACTAGTGAAACGGTAAGTGGCTGTACTGGAATAACGAAATAATAATAATAATAATCAACCATTTTCCTCTCTATCAGTATGACTGATGCTAACCTCCAGAAGAACAACTCATTAGGCCTTCTTGCTCTCACGTTCTCTATTGTCATCAAGTTGAGTGATTATATTGAATCAATTTCTGGGGCTGCTTCTAAGAATTTTGTCTTGCCAGACAATTTTTCTCGCCAGAATCCATCTTGCATATTTATATATCTTCCATTCGTTCTTTCATTGAATATTGTTTCCATATCTTTAATATTAATTTCACGGTATGTACCGTGAAATTAATATTAAATATATTGAACTGTATAGGGATGATGGCCTTATGTTTGCGCGGATGTCTACAAAATTTAAAATTGATAAGATTAGAAAGCTAATACGTAGAGAATTTAAATGCATAAATTTGAAAGTTACTGTTAATACAAAATTAAAAAAGGTAAACTTTCTCGCTATAACATTAGACTTAATGAAAAATATTTACCAACCTTATGAAAAAATCTAATGGTAATCCTTATGAAATTAAATCATCCCCCATCAGTAATAAAGCATATATATCTCTCTATTGAAAAAAGAATAGGTATAAAGTCTGCTAATGAAAAAATATTCTATGAACACGGTAATTTTTGTAATAATAGAAATCTGAGAAAAAATAGAAACAGAAAAATGATTTGGTACAAAACCTTATTCAACCAGTAGTTTAGTAGTAGGTTAGGACATAAATTTCTTGCTTTAATTGAAAAACATAACACACTTAGCAAATTTTTTTATAAAAATACAGTGAAATTAAGTTACAGTTGTACTGAGAATATATTATATAAGAAAACATTAATAATAAAATCGAGAATAGATATTTAAACCAGAATCAAAGAAATAGTAATTCAGAAATAATAATAAACAATCGTAATTATGTAACTGTAGAAATTCTGAAAATTACCCTTTGAATAATAAATTTTGTACCGAATCCGTAGTTTACCAATGCACTATTTCATCTACTGAGAATCCTAATGTTGAAAATTCTATATAGGTTGTACTAAGAATGAATTTAAATTACGATGGAGCCAACATCTGACCTCCTTCAATAATATTCAGTATCGCGAGCAAACATCCCTATGCAAATATTTTTGTTATTTAAAAGAAACAAATAAAACACCAACAGTAAAATAGAAAGTAATAAAAAATCAAGAACAAGTCGATCTGTAAATGACCTATGTCCTTTCTGCCTACATGAAAAGCTATATATTATTAAGTTTCTGAAAGATAAACATCTATTAAATCAAAGAAATGAAATAGCAGTTTTTGTAGACATTGTTTCATATTTTCCTTAATGAATAATTAATTATAAATATAATTTGCATAATTATATCTATTAGTTGATCATAAATAAATTAATTTATAAATGCGTAATTAAATTCTAATATTTTAAATTTAACAATACCATATATAGTTTATGTTGTGGATTCCGGGATGAAATCCGGTACCAATAAATAACAAACGCCAAGAATTAATATAGGAAAATAATGTATTAACGTAATAATACAAACTGGTAATGCAGGTTAGTAGTTCCAGGAATGCGGGTTAGTAGCAAAATATCTATACAGTCTTTGGTATTGAAGTATCGCTGTATGACTTCTTACTGAGTCTTCGTGCTCGCTCACGGTGACTCTTGCTGGCTACGTTCGTTCTGTCTGTCTGTTAACTTACTCTCACTCTTCCGGTTACATACAAACTTTCTCTCCTCCTCTGTAGCTATTGGGTCTTCACATAGCAGTAGTATATGTATATGCTGGGTGAGTCCATTTGTGCAAAAAAGGGGAGGACCGCTAACTGTTTATTAGTAATTAAAATATATATAGTATTTTAGATCTTTATAAATAAAAATATTAATATAAATAATGTGACTTAATCATATTTGAAAACCCGTTTAAGAAAATCTCGATGTGATTTTAGAAATCAAGAAAACAAATAAAAAAAAATTTGAAAATGCCAAATGTATTGTAATGTAACTCAAAAAACCCCAAAAAAACAGGCATTAATGACAAGTTGTATAAAAAGAAGTCAGTATCAACAGACAGAAACCTCAACATCCACCTAAACGTAACCCAGTTTCAATTTTGCCACATAAAAATTATATTTATAATTTCATTCGTCAAAAACCCAACACCCATTTAATAAAATTCTGAATTCTCATTATCCTACCAACTTAAAATATATAATACTATTTAGCTTATAAATAGAGTTCATCAAATTTTTTCGAAGATTATTTTCAGCATCCCTTGAAAATGAAACTGAACAACGAATTTTAAGCCGAATAAATATTATGCTTAATTTAAGATTTAAGTTTTGGTTTCGTAACAGTTATTTCTCTGTCGCAATGGATACATTTTTTTAAAATAATTATAATATTATGCTCTACTCTGTATCGAGTACTGTTTTTTTTTTAACAAATTCTAAAGAAACCTGGATTATAAATCTGATTGTTCTTCTTTTTTCATTATATATCTATATATCCCCATCTCATCTCTCTCTCTCTCTCTATATATATATATATATATATATATATATATATATATATATATATATATATATATATATATATATATAATTTATTTGTTAAACTCTATATTTATTTGTTTAAATCTATCGGCTGAATATTTGAAATATTTAAGCGGGAACCAGTTGTAAAGGTCTGTTGGTGGTGGGCGTAAAAATGTCGCTCGTCGAAACGCATGGTAAAGAAAGAGTGATGGAGCAGTGTTGTATTACTTTTTACGGTGAATTATGGGTAAACTTTTATTTCTTTTATTTTATTCTTTTTAAAAATATAAAAAGCGTCGGAAGATATTGCTGCACCATAATGAATCAAACTCCGCCTTTTTTTTGCTCTCTGACATTGTACTCGATAATTTCCGTCAAGAAGACAACGAAATCATATTTGATGCAATTTTCGTTATACTCCGTTGTTTTCAGTAAAAAAAAGACTACAAAGAAGACAATATGTCATGAAATTTCAAGAAATATACTCACGGACGTAAATAGGTACTGATATAAAAAGAGATATTCTCTGTTAAGACATGTCATACGGAGTGTGCTGATTTACCATATAGAAACTTTTCTGTATTTGCCACGCTTTACTCAAGGTAAGAGATCAGCTTTTTTTATGACAATCATCAAATAATTGAATGTTTGATTATATTAATTAGGAGTGTTCGAAAACTGTTTCTATTAAAATGTAATAAAATAATTTAAGTTACTTCACAAAAATCGACAAAAACTAAACTTTTCCCAGAAAATCTATGGCTAGATGAATAGTTGGTGTCTAGAATGTAATCCTTTCAGTTTTAAAAAAGAGATATCTATCTATCTATCTATCTATCTATCTATCTATCTACCTATCTATCTATCTATCTATCTATCTTGCTAGATGTAAGTATATAGTTAGTTATATATAGTTAAATATTTTTCTAACAAGATTTCTCGAATATTATGGCCGGTAAATGTAAATAAATAAAAAAAATATATATATATATATATATATATATATATATATATATATATATATATATATATATATATACGCATACACACACTAACACAAACACATATATATTCATATATATATATATATTCATTTGCATGTATATGTATATAGAGATATTATATATATGTATATATATGCATAAATATATATATATATATGATCATATGTATATATCTATGTATATTATGTATATCTATGTATATTATGTATATATATATATGTAGATATCCACGTTTTTATATATGCATATTAATGTATATTAATGTATATATATATATATATATATATATATATATATATGTCTATGAATATTCTGTATATATATATATATATATGTGTGTGTGTGTGTGTGTGTGTATATATGCGTAAATATATATAATATATATATATATATATATATATATATATATATATATATATATAATTGTATGTATTTTTATATATGTATGGCAAAGTGGATTAATTTGTTGCACTGGTGCGATTACACATGCCCACGAACCAGATTTGATGGGAATTTAATTTAGATTATTTTTCATTTTGTTTCCATCATTTCTGTTATTAGACATCCCACACTGCGATAATAGAAGATCTCCCAGGAAAAGTTTAATTTTATAAGTCAAAGCGCAAATTTACTGTGGATGACTTTATGATTAAGTCAGTCGAACTAAATTGTTTTCTCCTTTGATTAGATTCGCTTTTCTTTTCACGTCAGTCTCGTTACGGTGAGAAACTAATGCATTTTATCCATTGTTTTCTAAAACCCCACAAAGCAGGTAACCCATACGCCCCATCATCTCAGGAATAGACAGCAGACCCCACAAAATAACGAAAGCCATAACAAAAATTATAACCCCTCTCCTTGGAACAATCAGTCCATCTTATACAAAGAACTCACACAGATGAGTTGAAAAACTAAGGGTAATAAATATGACTGAAAACCCATGACCAATCCATATAAACACTATTATTATCTCCATAATGTCGTATTGTCGAAGTCACTGCTTTATAAAATTTATAACTGAAATATAAACAGTTGTTTTGAGATTGAAAGGGATAATCAATTGCATTACAAACAACTGCAGCTCTCCTACATGACCCAGAGAATAAATCAACAGTCGACCAAAATACAGAAGGTTGCATTAAGAAAAATTGCAGCACAAAAATATCTTTTTTTGGTTTCAAATATAGCGAATTTTTAAAAAATTGCATTCAACTCTAATACGACACACTGGTCAAATTTGATTAACCTCTCATAAAATGAACCTGCACTTGCATAAGGTGTTTCAAATAATGAACTGCAAGAGCTTATAATGAATAGAACGACGTTGGAGTTGCCGAATTTATTTGCACATATGCAAAGTGCAGAAAGAGCAGTTAAATTAACTATTGAAGCTTTACAAATTTTATATGGACAAGAAGCAAGGCAGAAACAATATTTTATTAAATCATTGGACCATCAAATGAGAATCCTAGTTTAATTCAAAGGAAAATTATACTGAACAATTTTACTATATTATAATATAATATGATTTAAAGTGCAGTAGTTTTAGTTCAGTTTTCAGTAAACAATGAAATTTTAAACATTTTGTTTTATAATTTGTATCCAGCAGTATTATGGTATTTGCTGTGGATTCCGGGAATGGAATCCTGCACAAATAAATAAACAACGCCAGAAATTGAGACAGAAAAATAAGTGTATTAACGTAAGAATACAGATTTGAAGTGAAGATTAGTAGTCCAGGAATGCGGGTTAGTAGAAAGTATATGTACAAGTCTCTGTAAATAAAGCCGTAATCATCTCTCTCTCTGGACTCTTATGTAACCCTCTGAGAACACCCTGTGTCTGTCTCCGTATCTCTCAAACTGTTTCAACATATCTCCACGTATTTCCACGTATCTCAGTATTTAATATCTCATTCACGAGGAATATAGGTGGCACAAGGCCGAGTTTAAAGTGGGTTTCTCCGTGCTCATAGACTCGGCCAAAAATATCTCCTTTGAACCCGCCTAGACGGGTTCAGGGCCTGTCTACCTCCCCGGACGAAACCTTGCCCTTCGGCAAAGCTACGTCCGGGTTCCTCTTTGGCAAAGCAGAGAGTTCGACAAACGTCGAGACTGTATCTCCACGTATCTCAACGTAGGTATTCTCTTTGTCAGTATGAGTATATTTTAGACGAGTCCATCATATGTTAAAAGGGGAGAGCCCCACAACCGTATTATATATACATTAATCTATGTTTTGTTCTTATTATTTATGACATTACAAATTTTATAACATTTTATTAATATATTAGCTTCTTTTTTTGTAATTTTTTAATGTTTGATAATTCTCACTTCTCGAATAGTATATATTTTCATTCAGTATATTGAATACAAAAAAAATCAACATGCTTCACATCAGTTCATTGGCTGACCGTAACGAATAATGCCCGATGCATCGCTCTGGACATCTCTCAAGCATTTGATAGGGTTTTGACATGCCGGCCTTTTTCGTAAGCTTCAGGGATACGGTATTACAGGACGATTATTTGACTTAATACAATCATTCCTCTCAAACCATGAAATGAAGATCGTCCTAAACGGTTTCTCCTCCAGTTCCTTTATAACAAACGCTGGTATTCCCCAAGGCTCTATCTTGGGCCCTGCACTGCTCTTGACCTTCATCAATGGCCTTCCCAATGTCATCAGTTCCCAAGTAGGCATCGACGAGGACTACACCACTATTTATTTCTGTCTCAATAGTAAATCTGCTATCGTTGACAAAAATAACCTGGCTGCTGATCTCGAAAAGGACCTCCAATCTCTGGTTGACTGGGGCAGAAAATGGCTTTTAACCTTTAATGATTCCAAAACGAAACAGCTCTCCTTTACCCACCTCAGAGAAACCTCCCTGCCTCCTATCAGAATAGCTGATTCCCAAATCTTCGAAAGCGCCTCGTTACGCCAGCTTGGTCTCACGCTGTCCGCTGACATGAGGTGGAATAAATACATTGAATCCATAGCTTCATCTACCGTAAGGAAAGTTCGTTCTCTGGATCTTGACAGAAAGTTTTTCTCGTCTGTGTCCATCCATCAAATCCATAAATCAACCATCCGTCCTCGCATGGAATATTGCAGACATATATGGTCTGGTGCCCCCGCTGTACGTCTTGAGGTCCTCAACAATATCCAGCGACGAATATCCAATGTGATAGGTCCTGATCTGGCATCTAGTCTACAGTCGCTTTCTCAAAGACGTGACGTGGCTTACCTTTGTCTCTTCTACAAGTATTCATTCCCAGACTGCATGAATCTAAGCTAAATACTAGGCTGGCATCTCGGTACCATACTTTCACCGTCGAAATGGTTAAATGTAACCGACTCTTCCACTCAAACAGCTTGAAGTACTCCCTTCTCCTAACTTGCTTCCCCGATGTCTATAATCTTCACATATTCAAGTGAAATGTTAAACGACATGTTCTGATACCTTCATCCTGTTCCCCGTTCTTTCTCTTTATCCTTTCCTCAAAGACACCTCTTTAATCTTGTTCGCAATCCTCTGTAATCCCTTGCTTGGGGCAAATTGCTTTAGAAAATGTTTACACACATGTATATATGTATATACATAAATGTATGTATATATCTCTCTTTCCTTCTCCCTCCTTCTCTTTCTCTCTCTTTCTCTCTCTCTCTTTCTCTCTCTCTCTCTCTCTCTCTCTCTCTCTATATATATATATATATATATATATATATATATATATATATATATATATATATGAAAATATATAGAATATAGGAAGAAACTGGTTAGGAAATAATCTAAAGTCCCTTAGTATTTTAGTTATTATTTTTTAAAAATAGTGCTCGATACAAAAGTAGAGCATAAATATAATTATTTATTTAAAAATATGATTCCAAATCGCGACATAAGAAGTCCCATGATTCAAAACAAGAGCCGAAAATTTCAATATAATTATTTAAATTAAATTGAGTTAAAAAGCTCTGTTCCATCTTCAAGCGAATTTTTTTCCAAAAAATTTTTTTTTTGAAGATGGAACAAACTTTTTTAACTCAAAAATTTCGCTTGAAGATGGAACAGAGCTTTTTTAACTCAAAAAATTTCGCTTGAAGATGGAACAGAGCTTTTTAACTCAAAAAATTTTTTGAAGATGGAACAAGCTTTTTTTGACACAAAATTTTTTTTAAATAAATATATATATATATATATATATATATATATATATATATATATAATAATAATGGACTCTCCAGTCGGTTTTGGCGTATGAGGATCTGACAGCTTATTAATTCAGCTATGAAATTTTGTGCGATAATCTTAAGTAGCATTTAAGACCCGCTAGTGATTTACAAAGGAGGCCACATATGGAGCAAGTGCGAGGATTGTGAGATGAGATCACTGTTAGTTTGGCTGACCTTTTAGATCTTGCGCTCGCTTCTTGAGGATGATTCAGACAATCAGATTGAAAATTGCTGAGTCCACTAAAACACGTTGATCTCCATTCTACCCACTCCAAGGCTAAGCGTTATGTGGTATATTAAATGGTACACACACACACACACACACACACACACACACACACACACATATATATATATATATATATATATATATATATATGCACATGTATACATAGATTTATATATTTCTGATTTCGCTCTCTCGCTATCTCCCCTCTCTCTCTCTCTCTCTCTCTATCTATATATATATATATATATATATATATATATATATATATATATGCACATATATAGAGAATAGGAAATAACCTGTTAGGTAAAGAATCTGAAATTCTTTAGTATTTTTGTTTTTACTTTTAAAAAAACAGTTCTCGATACAAAAGTAGAGCCTAAATTATGATTATCTTTTTTTTAAAAAAATATGA